TCGTCTTGAGCCTCCCTTGCCCCTTCTCGTAAGCAATACCCAGCCGGTTTGCCTCCTCGATGCGAAGGAAGTTGTCCGTGGCACCGGTATCCACCAAGGCTTTTGACTCGCCTTGCATGAATTGCGCCAGAACATAGCACCTCCCACGCTTGCTCTCCTTGACGTCGGTCTTCACCGCGCCAAGCTTGCGGATTGAGCCAATCTTGGCCTCCGCTGCCTTGGGCTCCTCATCTTGAGCTTCCATGGCCGCTAATCTCGCCTTCCTTGGGCAATCCCGCACTCGATGTGGTCCGTCGCAAAGGAAGCAAGACATGGGTTTTGGTTCGTACTTACCCCCTTTGCTCGAACCACCTTGTTGTTGAGCGCGAGTGCCCTCCTTGAAAGGCTTCTGTTGTTCTCCACCCTTGTTGGGCTTCGAACTCTTCTCTTTGCCGCTGCTCTCTTGCCTTTTGTACTCGACAAAAGACTCCGCCGTGGCCATGGCAGTTGCAAGGTCTTGCACTCCTCGACGTTGCATCTCCATCTTGGCCCATGGTTGCAGCCCATCAAGAAAGCCGTGCATGGCCTCCTTGTCCGTGATGTCCGGGATCTCTAGAAGCAGCTCCGAGAATTCTTTCACATATTCTCGAACTCCACCCCTCTGGGTGAGTCTTCTCAACTTCGAACGGGCTTCAAACTCCACGTTCTCCGGGTAGAACTGCTTCTTGATTTCTCTCTTGAAATCTTCCCACGTTACCATCACACAAGTACCTCTTTCGACGTCCGCTTCACGTTGCCTCCACCACACCATGGCAACATCAACCAAGTAGAGTGGAGCGGTACGAAGTTTTACCTCATCCTCTTGGATGCCGGACGCCTTGAAGTACTGCTCAAGACTCCAAAGGAAGTTCTCTAACTCCCTCGCGTTCCTTGAACCTCCGAAGTTCTTCGGTCTTGGAACATCAGCACGTGGGACGGATTGCACCGGGGCTGGTCCGCTAGCCATGGCTCTCTTCACGAGAGTGACCTCACTCTTGAGGTCTGCAATCTCCTCCTTCACGCCGACCAGCTCAGCCTGGACTTGCTCTTTCACAACTTCAAGGGCGTTGTTCATGGAGGCGGTGATGGTGTTGTTGATGAGGGCCACAAGCTCTTCCCGCATCCCATCGTGGTTGATCTCCAAGCTTGTCAACCGACCAGCCATTCCTTGAACATCGCCTTGGACTTGGGCGAAGTTACCTCCCAAGTCCTCAATGGCAGTGATGTCTTCCGCAATCTTCACTTCCACTCGAGCAACACGCCTCTCTAGCGCCGCCATAGGATCACGAGTGCTCGACTTGTCACCCTTTGGCTTGGGATGCTTGGTTGGATCCCTTCCGCGCTTCTCGACGTCGGTAACGCCGCTGTCTGATCCCGACATTTTTGGTGAGGTTCTTCCTTTCCTTCTGGCTCTAGGTTCAACTTTGCTTGCACAAAGCCGAACCAGGCTCTGATACCACTTGTCACGACCTTACTCTCGATCGTGCGGCCCTAGCTCTCAAATCCGTTAGAGCGCTAGGCAGCCTTTCTCTCAACTCGCTTGAAAGCAAAGAACAAGAACACAAGACAAAGGATTGGGAGAACTCTCTAGTGTGTATTACTCTCAAAAATGATGGAATGAGTTACAAGTGAGGGAGATGGCTCCTTATATAGGCCTCTCCTCATACAAGGCATCAATGCCCCTCATAATGTCCCTCTACTACATCAATACACCCATTAAGTCCCCCCATTATGCACTCTATAAATACTACCATAATGTAGCTAATAAGTGCACCATTAAGCTCTCTATTAAGGTGGAGAATCCTAGGAGCATCTCTATGCTACTAGTCTTCCATGCATGACACATGTGCAGCCTTGTTGTCACCTTGTTGACGCCATGTCATCGGCCACATGTGACAGTACCCGCCCACACCCATATAATTAATTTTCTCGATATATTTAATATTCTAAACAACTAATCTTATTTATGTTTGTGGAACAAGTCTAATTTTTTCTTTCTAATTGTGTAGAATGAAGTTGATGTTATCGAATGGAGAGTGAAGAAACTTAATTGAAAGGAAGAAGCTTTCAATTAATCATGTTATTTATGGATAATTTGTGATTTGCTTCAATTTTCTAGATTGGTGTTGAACAATTTGTATAGTTAATTTGTGATTTGCTTGAATTTTCTAGAATGATGTTTTATATATGGATAAGTTGTATTTAGAGATTGATATTTGACTTTAATTTTTATAGGAACTTGTTATTGTAAATTTTTTACGACAAAAACCCGTGGGTACCCATGAACCCGCGGATACCCAGCGGGTTGGGTTTGAGTTTTTCAAACCCAGTGGGTTTTACCCTAGGTTTTTTCCACGGATAAACCTATGGGTTTGGCAAAACCCGACCCAACCCGACCCATTGCCATCCCTGGTGTCAGTTCACTCTGCTCAATAGTGGAAGAGAACCGTAAGATGGTGGTGGAGACTCGTCAAGTGATGGCGGAGAACCGCTGATAAATGGAGGAGAGTTTGATGTTGATCTTAAATTTTGAATTGAGGTAAAAATTATAAGAAATAATGAAATATACTCGAGTATAAACTTCCTTAATAATCATTACGTTAGAAATGTATAATATTACTATGAAGATGTTACAACCCATCACCAATGTATAAAAAAATTATTAACGTAAAAGATCATAAAAATTAGAAACCATTAATCCCCTCAAAGAAACTTACTCTACAATTGGGCTTTATTCTATCTGGCCCAAAAATGAGATACCAAAGGAAAGATAGCCAGATAAATAATGGAAAAGGCTGTAAAGAGTGAATTGAGTAAATCAACGAGAGATGATTTAAAGCTTACGTGGCATAAATTTTGTAGAGAACAACCATAATATATGTTAAGATAAGATTTAACGTCTCCCTCATCAACCAAACTTATTGAGATTGATTTTATATTCTATTTTCTTAATAGCTTTGTCATCCTTTATTTCCTTTAAATTCCTTCTTCTAAAATTTTCTTGAAATTGAAACTATATTTTGAGTTATAATTTTTATATTTTAAATAAAAATGTATGTATTCTACTAAAAGTAAGACAAAGCTAAATGCTGTATCTCGTATTTAAATTTAAAATCACTAGGACAAATTCGTTATGCTTGGAAAAAAAAATATTAGGGTTTCTCTAAACTTAACTTATATTATGACTATTATGGAGTTTTTTTTTTATCAAATTAGTTTTTGTAAATGATGCAACTTCCATGCACATTTATTAAAAGTAATCACATTAACAAGGTAACCAAACGCATAATTAATCCCAAATGACTAAATTACAACTATTCACTGAAACTAAATGATAAAGTAATCACATTAATATGAAGTAGAAAATACATGTTTTCATAAAAATGAAGGAAGTTGTGTTCCATTGCTAAAACATGTACACTTGGGGAATATAATTAAGATTTTAACGATATGCAATCTTCTTTCACTTTAGTTTTTGTCTAATCAATGTTTCTTTTTTGGATGTTTAATTACCAAATATGTGCAATCTCACTTTTGGACCTCCTCCAAGCATACGTTGGTGTTGTGGTGTTGTTATGTAAGAAAAAGTACATCTTAAACAAAAAAAAACTATATCACTCCAAAAGTCTCATTTGCTGTAAACAAGAGAAAGTCAAGATATTGTCGCTAAACATCCCCTCAATTCCTTAAGGGGTCGTTTGGATGGGTGATTGGGTATTGAGTTATTTAAAAGTATCAATAACTCACTTTTTAGTTTTGTGGTATTTGAGTGGTATTTGTTAAATTTTGGTGCACAATTATGTTGTTTGGATGAATAGAAGGATGAGTTATTATTTGTGTGGTATTTTGGAAGAAAAAAGTGGAAAAGACCTTAATGCCCTTGAATGGTTGTTAGTCCATATATATAATAATAGATTATATATCCAAAAGAGACTACTGTTGGCGGGACAATAATTCTACCTCCAGCAAGTTTTTTCACAGAGAGTTCTTTGAGGGAGTCGTGAATGGCGTTGTGTTTAGCAAATGTCCCGGGACAGCTATTGTCCGAACTTCCAAGACCAGCCTGCTTCTTCTTCTGCATTCGATCTAGGTGAAACTTTTGTGTAAACCTGCAGAAAAGTAACAACAAAGAGCATATAAGTCTGAGTTGTTATCTACCCAGATGAATGAATCGCTTGAGCAAAATAAATCGCTAGAGCTTTAAGTAAGCGAAACTCGACAAATAACCAAGAAACCACATCATGATAATTATACTGCAAACCATCAATGTCATTGATTTTCAATAACAACTCCTTCCACTTTGCTGCATTATGGAGCTTCAAAAAAGCATAACATTGCTGGATTTTTGTTCATTACACTGACAGCAACAACATTCACTAAGCTATTACTTTATCAGTGCTTACAAAAGGGATTTACACATCATAACTAATCCTTGTTATCATCCTACTTCAGCACTATACACCATTCATGCGCACTTTACAAAAGCAGATATTTTCCAATTTGCAAAGTCTGCCATCTGAAGTGTTTCTGAATGACAGATACAAAATAGATCTTTGCAAACTAGAAAACACTGAATAAGATACTAATCCTACAATGGCATCTACAGTTAGATGAGACTGAGGATAAGTGTTAGCCTGTCCTCATCGTCCATCTCGTAGAAACTCTTCAAGTCTGTTGGGTTTGCATTCAATATCCTAACTTCAAGCACCCTTTGAACTCGGGTCAAGCCCTCTAATTTGTCCAAGTTACCCCTCAGCTCCTTCCGCATATTATCATGCTCCTCGCTCTCGCCCATTGCTTTAGCGATCGTGTCCACAGATTGTTGGATTAGGGGCCTCAGTAATTTCATCTCACACCCAAGTTCAGCATTCGTATCATCGGACACTGCACCCTGGACCTTCTTCTTCTTCTTTTCAAGTGGTGCACTCATTGGAGTATTTGCAGGACGCTTCTTCTTGTTCACATTTTTGTCCTCGACCCCCTCATTTATGATGTTTTTCTTCTTCAATTGCAGGGTTTACCATTTCAGCAAGAGGGACAGGAGGCCCTTCATCATCCTCAGAGCCACTATCATCCCCTTCGGATATTATTTCCGGGTCGTTACCTGCAGCCTCTATATGTGTTATAACCAACCGAAAATAGGAGATAATTGAAAAATCGAGACAACAACACATACCTGAGAATCCTCCTAATCCGGTGGCACGCCCATTAGCAAAAACTGGTGCAAGATCAAAGAATTGTGGGAAAGACGCTCCTTTTGTAGGTTTTGCAGGTTGGGTTTTGCTGCAAAAAATAGTAACCAATCCATAGACATACCATGAATACAAAGGAAGTAAACAGTCTATAAGAAACACAACACCAATCCATAGACATAACATGAATACAAAGGAGACAAGAAAACAAACCTCAAGGAACACATCCCACACTGCCTTTTCTGCAGAAACACACTCCTTCTCCGCATCCCATCCAAAACCACTCTGATTCTTCATTAAGACGGTCGAATGGTACCAGTGCTTGAGTTTCTTATACATATTCTGGATAGTTGGTTTTGCTTTAAGGCCACAACCTGGCACTTTGGTTGCCATCATCCTTTGCAACTCTTTGAACACACCGTTTTTGCAAGTCCCATTATTGATGAGTCCCCTTTCAGTAAGTTCAAGCAAACATTCCAGAAATGGACCATCATGCGTTGTATCCCAGAAGTTGTACTCTGATTTGACAGCTTCACCTGTGGCTCCTTGAACCTTTTTCTTCCTCCCCATTGCCTGAAATCTAGAAAACATCAATACTTCTTTGATTTCAAGCATTAATCAACCCTAATAAAAACAACAGCTACAAGTCAATTCAGGCAACTAACAAGAAGTCTCAAATGTAAACAACACACAGCCTGCTCAAAATGGAAAAATCATCATTAAACTACCCTGATTCAAGCACCCACAACAAGTAAATACAATTTAATACCAACAACCACACTCAATTTCACCAACCACAATAAATACACCAGAATCATATTACAACAGTCTCACCTACAATAGTAGGTACCCTCAATTCAATTACAACAACAGCTACCTGTCTCTCCAAAAAAACAGCACATGCCAAAATTTATAGAACAACAAGCATGTAAAGAATTCTTGTTCAACAGCAGGATAACTAAATTTAATTACACACCATATTGAACAAACAACACGATTACACAGAAAGTGCCTAAGATCTCTATCTGTTGTCCCACATAAAAGTCGCCTTGTCATTGCGAAATTGGGTCCATGCCGCGCATGGTTGCATGCTGGTTCCCTCAATGGACTCCAAGTCTGCTGAAGGATGTTGTTCGGGCTCAGTATCTGGATAGGTTCTCTCAATCTCGTCTACCCCATATTCCTTCTTGATAAAGTTGTGTATTATACAACAAGCTATCACTATCCGGGAAACCTCTTTAGGAGTGAACCAAGTAGCTTTCCTCAAAATCGCGAATCTCATCTTCAAAATTCCAAAAATTCGCTCAATTACATTCCTAGAAGCAGCATGTTTCATATTGTAATATTCTTCGGCTGTTTCAGGCTGCCTAGTACCCCATTCTTTGAGATGGTATCTTTGACCCCTATATGGGGACAAAAATCCAGGGCAGTTGGCATACCCAGCATCACAAAGATAGTAATTACCTAAGAGGGGAAAAGTATATTGGATTATTATAGGTTAGTTTTGCAAGACTGAGTTGTTAAGACTTTTAATAATCACAGGTATAATGTTACTACCTTGGGGAACATTCAGTCCATTCGGTCTAGTGAGGGCATCTCGTAGTACCCTACTGTCGTGAGCACTGCTCTCCCAACCAGCAAGACAATATACGAATTCCAGGTTGGGAGTGCAGACACCTAGGACATTCATGGTTAGGTGGCCCTTCCGATCTCGATATCTAGGTTTGTCCTCCGTCAAAGGACGGACATCGATATGGGTTCCATCTAGGGCACCTAGGCACCTCTAATGACAAAAAACACGACTGTTAAGGGTATATTAATACATAAATTTATTACGAAAAGTGAATCCATAAAATTAAAACGATGGATTTGACCTTGAAATGTTTCCATCGACTGCTGGTCTCATTTGTAGGAATGGGAACCGGCTTCTTCATGAATTGACTGTTCAGTCTAATGACAGCTTTCAACACACGATGAATTGACCTCGATATAGTCTCCCCTGACCGTCTCAAATTAACTTGCAAGGTCCTATTTTTCTCATTATGTGAAATGGTGCGTAGAAAGGTATAAACCATTTCATCAATGTCTACGTTCCTAGTTTTCTTCAACCCTCCTTGGACAGTAAAAACCTCGCAAAACCTTCTAAATAACCCACGATTCATCCTGATTTGATCGAAGGTATAAGTGTCACTGATTTTGGTTGTATTTCTAAGGTGCCTTTGCCTATCGTAGTGCCTAACCAAGTAGGTGTCTAAGGGTTGCCTACCGAGTCTTGGCTGCAAGTGTCGTTTAGCTAACAGCCTACCAGCCAACTCCATCCCAAGACTAACGTAAATCATTATAAGATTCATAAATGAGCTAATTGCAGCAAGCACTTGCCGCCTACGAGTCGGGTTCAATGTCGACAAACGAGACATCCTTTGGAAGACAGAAATGAAGAGAAGTATCAGAATGATTTCTAAATATAAAACACAGCAGCAACGAAAAACAACCTAATACTGAATTCTATCGATCTGTGGATCACCTCTTCTCAAACACCCTAACGTCAAAATGGACTAAACAATGCACACGAGAAGCAAAACTATGGGAATTAGTTTCCCAAAACAAATCACTATCCTGTACACATAAAAACCTAATTATCAATCTAAGTCAAGAAACCAAAACTCTCTAATTATATACCATCCGAATGTTGGGTTGTAAACAAATGGAATAAAGAATAATGTTGGAGGAAAGCAAGTTGCTTTCCTTTCTTATAAAAGACAAACGAAACAGTAGGTTGAATTAGCAGAGAAACCCAATAATTAAGATCAACTTGTACCCAAAGTTCATACTTTTGCCGATAGAAACTTTTACCCATAGAAAACAATCAGTGATTTCTTGCTTTTTTTATCCGAAAGCTTTATTCTTTGCAGAGAGGGGATAGAGAGTTGAGGAGGAGCAAACCAGAAATAAATTTAACACAGACATCGCAAATCTCAGTTAACAATATATCAAGCCCTAAATCGGAATCCTCGGCAACAACATGAAAGGACAAGAGGAAACACTAACCTGGGCGGCGGTTCACCCCTGGTTGAACAGAACAGCTTCGAGTGTATCAAATCGACGCCGGCGGAGAAATCGGGAACTTTGCCTTCCTGGTTTGCTGGCAGAGAGGATGTGGGTTTGCTAGCAGAGAGGATAACGATGATGGGAAACAGAAGAAGGAAGTAGAAGGAGAAGAGAGAGTAAAGGAGTCTCGAGAGATGCTTTGTGTGGGGCCAGGGACACGATGGGTACACAAAAAAAGCAGAAACGAGTTATTCAGAATTAACAACCCTCCCCCCTGTTATTTCAATTACCGCATTTACGGATTATTTGTAAATAACCACCCACAAATTAACCCAAGTCATAAACAATTGTCCAAACAAGTTATTTGGGCCAAATTAACTCATTCTGAGTTATTTGGGTACAAATACCTCATGAGAATATTGCATCCATACGACCCGTAAGGCTTTGTTAGAATAAAATAGCAAAGTGGACAAGCATTTTCGGGAGTAAGTAAGAATTTATAATGATATTTTTATTTTAGTTTTATAGGTGGTATCATTTGTCACAATTTGAATGGTTGGCATGAAATATATGTGTTTTCAATTTGGTGACAAATGTACCATTGATTGGAATTCTGCTACCACAAGAATGTCTAATCCTAGATTTTTTCGATTTTTCATACATCAAAGGAGAAAGATGTTGAAAATCAACTCATTCCAAATCATTACATATGATAATTTAAACTCTCTATGTGAAACTATTAGAATCGAGTATAATAAGAAAATTTTAGAATTTCATAATATCTTGCTCCTAACATCTAGATACACCAAAGATAAAACTAATAAGAAGTCATATACAACTTTCGAAGTTAAAACTATTGGTTAGTCAAAGATTAGATGGTCGGAATGTGAATATCCAACTTATAATATAGTCGCAACTCTTATTATTTTATTAATCGAGATTTGGATAAACTATAGCCAAAAATTAAATATAAAGAAATTAGCAACCTAATAACATTTAAGTGACAAATAAGAAAGAAAAAAATGAATACACCACCCATTTGGTGGGCACAAGACTAGTGATGTATTGAGCTATTTCATGTATTTTTTTGGCTTATATTGAACTTGAATACATGTATTAACTTTTTGAAGACCCCACCACAATCACTCAAAATTGAGGGATTATCAATCTCTACTTTTTGTTGGGATTATTTACAATCACTCAAAATTAACTTTTGTGGCCTTACAACAAACATAAAGTCTGAGAGGTCCATGCCGCTTCATGAGAAGGGGCATGGTCGCGAGACAAGAGGCCCTAGGCATGATTGAAAAATGCAAAGTATGAGAAGGCCATGCCGTATTACACGAAGGGCCACAAACATGATTGAGAAGTCCATGTCCATGGATAAAGAGGCCATGCCGCCTCATGAGTCATGACCACGCTCAAACGACCCAAAAATATACTAAGTCCGGGAAGGACATGCCTCCTCACAAGAGGGGCCTTGTGTAGAGTGAGAGGTCCATGTCGCCTCAGAGAGGGCCATGGGCACGAATGTGAAGGGTGTAGTGGTGCAACATTATATCACTAGTGACTAAGTCCCAAGAGGGCCATGGACATGAGTAAGAAGTCCATGGCCGCGAGGCAAGAGGACCACGTCCCCTTTTTGAGACACCACATGTTTATCAAAAGACTAGCATGACAAAAGATTTGAAACAAGACCAGGCGCCTAGACGGTTGAAGGAGTAACCACCACTCCGAAGAAGGGGGATCAGTTCTTTGAAGCAGTTATCCAAGAGGAGGTTTTCTACGACAATTATCTCTCCATGGCTATAAATAGGAGGAAGGTTCGACAGAGAGAAGGGTTCCACAACCAAACAACTGACGCCTATGTCAAGTTTTTATCTTTCTCTGTAAATGTAGCTCTAGTCGTAGTTTGGAGCTCTCGTTGAACCTCCACAAGAGTACGAGTAACTTAATTTAGTTTTCATTCCCAAAAATCATCAATCAAACACCCTTGTTCGAACTATGTTTGAAGAGGTTTGAACCGTGTTTATAAATCGTTGTCCAAAGAAGTCAAAGGTGCAATCCAATCTCAATTCAACGCAAGTTTTCTCGCCGGAAAACACTAACATAACAAGAAATCCGAGCCTCATAGTGAAGAAAGATTCTCAGCATGGACTTTGATTTACTGGTCAATAGGGTAACCCAATCAAGTTTAGGGAGAAAGAGATATAAATGATAACCCCAAAGACTTTATATAATGAAGCATTAGTTGAAATCAAGTTCATGTCTCGGCCTCAGAAGAAAATCTACCACATTTCACACAAATTCGCTAGAGATGATGATAAAAATGACCTAGAGTGTCTACTAACAATCAAGAGAACCAGAATCAATGGAATCAAAGATAGGTGGGGAAAGATGCTCATCTACTGGATCTTGGGAAGATAATAATTGTTTCCCTTTCTTAAAAAAGAATCTTTGACAAGAGTTATTATGATAAAAGTTATTCACTCACGTTGGAGGCAAATTGGAAAGGTTGCCAAAATTGATTACAATATGATACATTGCATAAGGGGAAACTATGTGTGAATCTGCAATGAACTTGCTTTGCATAAGACGCTTTTCGCAAAATATCATATAAAAATTATGAGTTCTGTAGAATCGAATATGAAGGTCTTCACACTGTCTGCTTTGAGTGCGGGCGTTTTGAAGGAGACTTGTACTAACGGATTCAAGGATGGGAAGTTGTCGTATGATTTCATCTCACCAACCTTGTTTTCTGTTTTCCATTTCAATGGTGATTGGATGATTAGACTTGAAGTGGTAGAAGACTACAGTCTTTCAATGCTAGATTTTAAACAACAGGAAAAAAACCCATTGGCGACGACATGATCCAAATTTATAGACCTAAAAATGGGGATACATACAATTTTAACTTGAAACTAATTTACCATTAGTTTTCCTACTAGAAATCCAGATTGTTATCCTTGGTTGGAAGAGTGAATGTGACTTTGTCTTTTTTTAATGCTCTTCCCTCTCTTTCTTACACCAAAAATAGTGATACCAATGTATATTTGTGACACAATCGGGAAAAAAATATGCACCTTTGTATGGGGAAGTTAGGAGGGAAAGTTAAAAGTTCACCATGTTACCTAGGGGACTAATTGTAAACTAAAAGAGCATGGAGGTCTTGGTCTCCGGATTCCCTAGGAACTGAAATTTGTTTATTTGATAAAGTTGGCGTAGAAAATTTTAAATAATGAGGATTAGCTCTGGATGAGAGTCTTGCAGGGCAAATAATCAAAGCCGAATGGTGTAGGTGGTGTGTGAATGAAACACAGTTGCGTTTCAAAGCTTCAAAAGAGAATTCTTATAACATGACCAAGAATTCAACAAGGTGTTATCCGAGATATTCAAGAAGGCTATAACGTCGAGTTTTAGATGCAACCTTGGATGATGAAAGAGATTTTATTAGATGACCACATCACTAACAATGACACAAACATCAATCTCCATGCTTCGATAACCGATTTAACCAATGAAAAAGGTGAGTGGAATTGGAATGAAATCACCCTAAACTTCCCTCAGTCGATGATTCTTTGTTCCATAAATGGATCCTCTAAACCTGGAACTCGAGGAAGATAGAACCATAAAGTGGATGAAAGTTGACCAAAAGTCCAGGACTAAATCAACATATATGGCATCTGTAGACTGGTTGCAACACACAAACAAAGGAGACCCAGTGAGCACTATGACTATAGACTGGAAGAGCCTCTAAAACTGGGACGTGCTTAGCATAATCAAACACTTCTCATGATTGGCTCTTCATAACAGGATCCTAACCAATTTTGAAAGGAAGCAACACTAACTACCAAGATTAGGTAAACGTAACTTTTGCAAATCTACTCCTAAATTAGTGGATCATGTTCTCAGGGGGATGTACCATTGTTTAGGAAACTTGGCATCACCTCAAAATCCCTAATCAGGCTCTGAACTCTCCCCTCAATTTAGAAGACGGGATTATGGGAAACCTAAAGAGAAAAAGGAGGGGCCTCAAGTTGATGATTTTTTTACAAGAGAACTCTTAACTTAGAAATTCTTGCTCGGAGGACCATTAATTGGACATCCATCATTCATAAGATCTAAGATGATGATATCAAATGTCATTAATCACAACTAACAAAGACTAAACAAATGTTGAATTGATGCCTTCCACTTTAAAGTTCAATCAATTTTCAAACAGATGGTTCGGTTAGACAAATAGGTACATACCTTTGCAAACACTGGAGGTTTAATCCACCAAGAGATGGGGAAGATGTTGAGAGAGCATCAACTTCTAACCTTGTTTCTTGTGCCATGACAAGTAGGGCTGGGAAAATAGATCAGATTG